TGGCAAAACAACAAGAAATGGCTATTGTACAAAATGATTCGATGACGTTTGCTTTTCTCAACCAATCAATATCCCTGTTATGAACATTTTCCCTGACCTGATTTAAACCGTGAAATGCACATGCGGTGTACTGACATCATTTACCTGAGTAGAAATAAGCGTTTGCGATGAGATAATTGGGGGGCTCTAAATTGGAAACTTTGATAAATTTGTGAAATGAAAAATGCTTTTGAAATTGGGAAAAATAGAAAAAATCTCTATTTCTCGAAAAAGTATTTAATATAAGTCGGCTTCGCCTCGTAGCCCCGCTCAAAAAAGAGACGGTGTATCAACCCATACACCTTGAAAACAAAGTATATAACTATTACATATACCACGCCTTAAATCTGTTTCTCACATTTATAGTCACTAAATAAACGATCATATTATACTTAATAAGTTATGACCATTTAACCATCGATAAATAATAGACTGACAAATGGTTACGAGTGTCGGCCATAACATCCGGGCACTTTTGAGTAAAAAATAGGTTACGTGCCCTTGTTTTGAAATTAGTCTCGCTTAACCACTCTACCGACCCTCTGATTGACGGGCCGGAATAATCAAGACTACTTTTTTACGAAACATAACAGAAAGCTGGAACAAGAAATTGAATCTAGAAACATGCACGTTAGGGAGCTCAACAATTGTTTTAAGAACCTTGTAAAAGTAAAATAAAACGAACGTAATTTCTAAAGCTGCTGTAATAACAAAAAAAGGCTAAATATTACTGCTATTCAGAATCGTCAAAAATAGATTTTTTACGGCTGTAATAGTTGAAAGATGTGTAGAGAATTTCACGTGGCTATTTATAGACTCATAGACTCTTGCGCTGAGTGTTATCGTACCGCGTGACTAACCAGAAATCACTTCAAGACATGCCACTGAAGCGTGCACATTCGCCTTGTCGAGGTCAACTTTCAGTAGGGAAAATTTTCGCTGCATGGGGCATCCTACTAGTAGAATGGTTCATGCTCTTAAAGTTTTACAACAAACAGACAATACTTCGGGCTTAATTTAACATTATATGATAAGACTTGCCATAAAAACTTTATTCATCTGGCCACGTTTGATTTTTGAGGATATAACCATTTGGGATTTTTTTTTACAAATCCTCAAAATTCTGACCGGGTCCCACGATCAAGGCAGTTAACTCTTAGTGACAATACAAGTTATGTCCCTTGGTCACATTAAAATTATAACCGACGCCCCTGTAACGAAAATTTCTTTATCAGTCGGAAAACATCGTTTATTTCCTTGCTGCGAAGTAACGGAACACACTCAATGAAACAATTGAATTCAACATCTGCACGCATGCGCAATCGCTTAGTTGTTTTAACAATACACCCATGCCTTCAAATATCTTACTATTAACTGTTTATAATACTACGGATGGCAATGAAAATACACGTTTAACTGGATATGAAAAGATGACGTTTGACATGATTTGTTTTAAGATTAGCCTAATACTAAAATGAACAGAGAGACCTCTATAAATCTGATAATTTAGCACTTTATTTTAGTACTATAGATAAATAAATATAATATAGTGCAATATGATGTTTGTTATATAAAAAAAGAACACATTGCCGGAAAAAATACAAGGAAAATATTCTATAAGTATTACAAAAATACAATAAAGATCGAGCTTCAGTGAGATTTGATGGCGATGTGAATTCGAAGTTGTGGGGAGGGATGAATTTTTATTTCGAAAATAACGGTCCAGCAATTTCGTCGAGATCTTCCAAAATGTCACGTAATGTCATTAATGTAGTTTGCGCAGTTTTATCCGCCATTGTACGAAGACCAAGAATTAGTTGCGTATATGTCGATGTTCTCTGCGCGGTAATTTTTGATGAAGTGTAATTGGATTTTTGTCCTACGACAGCCAAACATGCTGCGTTATCATTCGAGATGTCAAGATTTTTAAGTACCATGACTAATAATGGCATTCTGTGATGTATCTTTGATTTTCGACATCATACTAAATTACTTCGTTCATCTTAATAGGTTTGGACTTACAGTCAGGTTTTTAACCTGAAAATTTGTCTTTTTTATTTTCATTACTAGCCTTCATGCAAATAATTTCTTTTCTTCTTTTCTAGTCTTCCAAAGTCAAAGTTGCATCCGCAGGTGTCTGAGCCTCTGTATTTATTAAATGAATTCTGCCGATGGAGTACCATTTAATAATGGAACGCCAACATCAAAGGATGACGTCACATCTGTATTATAGATACTATTAAACGCGGTCGCGTTCTTTATTTGCAGTTTCATAAAATATGTCTTGTTACCGATAGGTCGTTCGTGACTTTCCATTGCATAATTAAAAATACACATACCCGTATGTTAATCCTAAAGAGCGTCGCCCACAAGAACAAGAAAATACCATAATAATGGCCATAATAAATTATGTCTAGAGATGGACGAGTCGCTTTAAACAGTTGATGCTTAGTCTCTGACGTCATGCCTACACGTGAATAGAACCTGCATGTTATCGTTTATAGATTATATCACCCTTTACTATGGAGCCCAATCATTGTCATGTTAAAGATACTTTCCCAGAAAAGTATTTATCGGGTGGTTATTTCCAATAAAAGTATGTCATATTTGATATATATGGAAAGTATAATAGACACCCAATCTTACTAGAAAAATACTGGATTACCCGAAAAACGCCCATGGAGCAAGCACTGGGCAAAATTGTCAGGGTATCACTAACTGGCAACCCGGCTGTTATCTGCTAGCTTATTGTGTGCCAGCTTAAGTGAGGGAGCGGTTATTATTTCTTGGTCAAATGGTTAGGCGGTTTTAGAAAAGTTGAGGGGTGTCAACGTACAAAAGACTCTGCAACTAAACGACGGAAAAAGAAGTTTACAGAAATAATTAAGAATTTACTTAGGCCTCAATATGTATGGTAAATGTACAGTAAGTAATGATAAATACATTCTGAAAAATGGACCCTCCCACAATGAAGCTAAATTGACAGACATTGCGTCTAACAACAGCTTACTTATAGCTATATAGGTATCCCCGGCGAATACAAAGTTTTAAGAGGGGATTGAAGCAAATTTTTGATAGATTGTTTACTTTGAATATGTTTTAGTCCAAATATATCATCAAATCACAAAGTTTGTACGCGGGAATGTATCTTTAAAGTTACAATTTCATATTTTCTAAGAAGGTCAAAACATGATTATTTCTATGTCTTTTGCTCAATAGGCTATCAACTCACTATTATACGATCATAGATGTCATTCTCACACTTAAAACCCATTTACAACGGAAATAATAACACAATTACCTCCCTTGTTTTCTATTCTCCACAATGGAGTAGCGATCTCCTCAAACGTTTGAATTTAAAGAGGAAAATGATATTTTTGCCAATTTCTCAACTGGCAATAGTGAATTATAGGATTAATAGGATTATTCTTTAACAAGGTAGGACTGTTTATAGATACCATCTATTTTAAGGCTTTATTTTAATAAATTTTAAAAATAGAACGTAAAAATATGAAATTGCAACTTTAAGAGAAAACTTTATGGTTAAGCGTGCAAAATTATCATAGTCAAACTGGTAAAATTCATATAATACATAAAACATTTTATCGATATTTAAAGGAGCTAAATCGCTAACATTTGGGACCTAGAAATTCACAAAAGTGGGTCGCAACGCATATAATACTGTAATATGAATGTATATAAACTGATTTACATTTAATGGTTTCCGTTTTTACTCCAATTTCAAATCAGTTATGTTCGGCGAAATAAGTCAGCAATCTCAATCGAGTGCAAATTTCTAGCGTCTAGTTATTCTAGTCTACATAACTCCATTTGATTTGGTGCAATGTGTCTAGCCTCGTCCCTCGAATCTCTCAATACAACTGGGGCTGAAGCGCATTATGGTACACGATTGTGTACCAATGTTAAAAAAAATTATTTTATCTTAAATATCGGATATCAGAAGCTCATCTTTTCCCGGTAAGTTTACATCATCAATGTTGATTTAAATTGACCAATAATTCGTGTTTTCGATGTCGAAGATTTTGGAGGATTTTGAGTTACGTACTTAGGTCCTTTAACTCCTGAAAATCACTATATTAGTGGGGGTTTTTTTTCCTCAAATATATCGACTTGTATTTTAATTAAGCATGCATTATGTAAGAGCCAAATTTGCCTATTGCAGGTCTTTCTTTAGGCTGATATGTTTTCTAAAGTATTAATCAGACATTAATTAACTGATCCAGGCCTTAATCAACTGTCGATGGCATCAGATTTCTCCGATATTAAATAGATTAGAATGGTTCAGCGATACTTTGATTTAATCAAATATGGAGGACGAGACATACCTTCGATCAACCAGTACGGTGGTTGAAATTATTGCACACGTCTGTCAAACCTTCAAAGGTTAATATCTTCGCTTGCAATAGAGTAATTTGAATGAAATTTTCAAATTATTCATTTTACATTATCTACTTTGGAACTATTATAGCAGGAATGACTAGTTCTTTATCTAAATCTTACATAATGTATCTTTAATATAACTTTTGTTTTTAGTTTCGCATTTTATATGTCTGTTTGATTGGAGAAATTTTGTTGGTTGAAAATACAATTGAGAAATTCTGATACTTGAAAATTCAAAGATGAAAAGGTTACAGTGAATTTTCAAAGAGGAAAAGGTTATAGTGAATTTGCAAAAGCACAAAGTAGAAAATGAAAAAAAACAAGTGTAGATTTTTACATTGTTAATTTTTGTCGGGCAATTTTTGTTTTGATACTAATATAGGCCTAGTCCTTTTGTGTTGTGTGATATTTACAAGTGAAAAATTTCGAAATTGCCATTTTTTTTTATCATTTTCACTATGATAATTTTGAAATATTGAACCATGATAGTTCCTCTTAATATGACAACGATTCGACTCCATACTTTCCTGCGTAATCTTTGTTGTTCAAAGGAGGCTTTGTCAAAGGTCACATCGACAACATACTTAGATCGTTATCTCTTCAAACATTATCATAATTCACATTTTCCCAAAACTACAACCATGTCAGCAGGTTTGTAAATCTATTTATTTTTATTTTATTACTATAATATATTTGTTTGTTATAACGATTACAAGTTTATGAGCAAATTCTTGAATTTAAAATAACTCTTTCCAATATCTGCCCGGGCAAAATTTCCCTCATAGCACACTGTATGTAGTAGTTATTAGCACACTTTCCGAGGTGTATCGGTGAATATCAGGACAGTTTTGGTCGAGGGGCCCAGTCGAGGCGGAGCCGAGGCGGCTCCCGACCAAAACTGTCCTGATATTCACCGATACACCGAGGAAAGGTGCTAATAAGTTACTTACATCACATTTCTATCGAGTATTGTGAAGCAAAATGTGAAAAATAGTATTTATTATCGAGTCGTTTCATCCGAAAAGTGACAAATACTTTCTTTTCTTTCATTATTTAACCCTTTCTGAGCCTCACGTTACATTTCATGGTAGAATGATTTCGCAGTGGAGAGACGACCTGAGTAGTATTTACACGTGCGTCTTGCTATGATACAATCACGTGTTTGTTTAGACCAGATCGTTAAAACAATGTCTATGGCGTAGAGGACTGCGATATTTTTAAATGTAGTGTAAAGGAAATGCGAAACGTGGGTCATTCCTGGTGAAAGTATGCATCGGCGGATGGTTCTTCCGTTGAAATTTATTTGTAATAAAGTTTATGACTTTCTAGGCTTTTTTTTTCATCCTGCTTATTTTCAATGCCTGTGAAGTGTCCATCAAGAGAACTGCGCCTTCTATCATCACAATTAATTAAAATAATTATTCAATATTCTAATTTATATATTTTGCATATTAATATAAATCAAACCAAATTATGAAATAGATGCCAATTGGTATGTATAATAATTGATTTTTGTAATATGTTGTTATGTTAATTTAATGTCATTGTATATGTTTTTGAACTGCCATGTAGTTCCCCCCATTTTGTTTTGTTACTATGAATTTGACTAGTTGTTTCATGTACATTGGTTAGAGCCTCGTTATCAATTGCGATCTGGGTCGGACTAAACGTCCGCTACTTGTTGCTTGATAGATATCTAAAACGGTATAAAAGTATCCGTGTATCAGAAATGATCAGTACTCTTTCTGTACATTTCTGATACACGGATACTTTTAAGCATGTATTGCAATTAAACAGGACAGTTTTATCAAAGGTTGCCAGTGGCAACGAGTAGAAGTGGGATGTAATGCATATGCCCGTATAGGAGTAGGACGATAAACCCAATTTCATTTCCAATATGCTTTAATGGGGGTTGGATCGCTGAATGGTAGCACGTGCGCGCTGTATCATAAAGTCTGTCATTGAGTCAACTAGCGTGGTTTCGATTCCCCTGTTGTACGTGACAAGGAGTAGGGTCGCCTGTCCAACCTCGAGGGTTTTCTCCGGGTCCTCCGGTTTCCCCCCACTGCTAAAGACCTACGCGCAAGCGAATTATGAAAATAAAATTGAACCATATGTTAGTCCCGAAATGACATAGTTTGTGTCGAGTACAAGAGAAACTGGGTTTTGTGCACTAAAGAAACTGAAAAGAATTTTGTTAGGTGCACACTTTAGTTAGTTAAATTTCAAGGTGGACAAAACTGTCATTTACAAATGAAAAAGTTTCACTTTTATGAATATTATTTGAATATAAGTTTGGGGGGTTGGATGATAAGCATGCGCGCGCTGTATCATCAGGTTTGTCAGTAAGTCAACTGGCGTGGTTTCGATTCCCCGGCTGTACGTGAAAGGGGGTAAGGTCGCCTGCCCAACCTCGTGGGTTTTCTCCAGGTCCTCCGGTTTCCTCCCACAGCTAAAGACCCCTACGCGCAAGCGAATTGTTTAAATAAAATTGAACCATGTGTTGATCCCGAAATGGCCTAGTTTGTGTCGGGTGGACGTTAAACACCATTTCTCTCTTTTTCTCGCGCAAATATAAGTTGAATGTAGAAAACTCGGAAAGCATATTATAGCTAACAATGCCAAGTCAAGGCTCGTCAGCTAACGTAATATCGTTTTAATGAATGGGAGTTGGAGGGGGTGAGCGTTTGTTTTACTTTTCCTGTCTCTTTAAGTTGTGAATATTTCAATTATAGATAACATGAATAATCATCAGAGATCTTAAATCAATGACCATCGATTGGAAAATGTCTGACAAGAAATTACAATCTATAAACAGTGGTACTCGTTATGGTAAAATTAAAATTACAAACTTGCTCTTAATAACACTTTTCTTTTATTAGGTTTACTAAAGAGATTAAAAGATGGCGACAATGTTATATGCGCTGAGGGTTATATGTGGGAACTGGAAAGACGGGGCTACTTAAGATCCGGTGTTTTTACACCAGAAATAATACTTGACCAGCCGGAACGGGTAAGGAACTTACACGAGGAATTTGTCCATGCAGGAAGTGACGTAGTAGAAGCTTTTACGGTGAGTGTATACTTGTACAAACGATAAGAAACGCAAGTCTATTAGATAGAACATAGCTCACTCTTACCACACCATACACCTCATATTTGGGACCAAAGTAGAGCCACAAATTCCATATGACATCATGAAAATATGACGTCCAAAGCCCTGTATAGGGAAAGCTACACGACAACTCATTTAAAGCCCAAAACTGTTCAACTAGTCTCTTATGGTAGACGCTCTTTTAGTTATCAAGCACCTGTTTTATGGAATAATCTACCATTTAGTTTAAGATGTGGTATATCTTTATATTCTTTTAAAAAACAACTTAAAACACATTTATTTAATCAGGATTTTAACTGACTCTGTATACAATCGTTAACATGTCCATAATCTTGTTGTTTATTTATGATTACATTGTCACTTTGTAAAAAGTGCCCCTGAACATGTTATATGAAATAGCGCACTATAAATATGCTGTAATAATAGATGGACGGGCAACGAGTTCATTTGGTTGGATTCTCTGTCGCTTGCGCGAAACACGACGAGATCTCAATGTTAATCCGGTATTTTATACAGATTAATTTCTCGAATTCCTCCATCGCATTTACAGTCTTCTTATAGTTACACGTTAATTTTTCAACCTGATAAGTATTTCTATCCAGTTGTGACGAATTTCTCAAGTTTAGAACATTAAAATTTCCAAATGCAGCAGTTGAAAATTGTGAAATGATCGATTTCAATATTTTCGTAGGTTTTGTAAGCATTTTGGTTTTGCTTAATAAACAAATTCCCGTATGTATGAAGGATTTTAAAATTATGAAAATAAAGTTCAGGTATAATACTGTCCGGATTGATGATTAATTGGGCAGAAGTAATAATTAAAAGAGTGTTTTAGTAGGCTTGTTTTTAACGAAACTCGACATGTTTTGGGGTTTTTTTCGGATTCACATGGGCGTGTCAAAAGCTTGAAGTAAACAAAGAAGATGTTTTGATACATTTAAACCACAATCATCAGTTGTCTATCTATGTATGAGTTGAAAAAAAGAGGAGCAAGATTAATACAAATATTATGAATTGATTTATTTTTCTTTGCTTTTAAACTTAATACTGGTAATTGCGCTAGGGGAGGTAATTTTATTTTAGTCACGATTGTCAGGTCCACTTTTTGCCGAATTCTAAAGACTTCGTTGTCGTTGCCTATCCATCTATACACGGTCCATGGGATGAGAAGTTTTACGGGCAAAATGACGTAATTACCATAACTCAACACGGCCTTCTTCGTGAATTATCAGATATCTGGTAATCGGTGTCTTTCAGTAGTGGGAGATTAAATAATTTGTTTTTAAATTTCTCAAACACAGAGTGATTATGCCAGCTAAATGTTCCGAAAAATCGAATTTGACAAACATCAAATTAAAAAATGTATTATTCATTTAGTGGCGGGCATTTCTTTCAAAATGGTTGTCAAATTTGGTAATATATAACCATTTAAAAAACCACAAAAAAACATAAATTTAGTAATAAAAGGGCAGTGGTAATCTCTTAAGATACGACTTTTGCTATGTCTTTTATAATGTTTTCGATGTCTCTGAATTTAAAGATAAAATTTCGAAAATCCAAAATGGCAGCAACACAAATCGGCAGATGTTAATTTAAAGGTCATTTTATTCTGTTGGATATTACTTGTAACATGTCATTTACACGGTTTTTGATGTCACCGGATTCAAAATGGCCGACAACATTTAATCCAAAATTGCGGAATTTTGTAATATGTCTTATATAATATGTTTTGGGATTGCTGGGTTCAACTTTGATCTCATAATTAAATTTCGAGAATTCTTGATTGTAGAAATTCAAAATGGCCGACAAAATGAAATCCAAAATGTTGGAATTTAATTAATCTTCATTTTTTCCGTATGGTTTTGCATGTAATATGTCGTATACACGTATATGGGTTTGGCGGCTGCAATTAAGGTTCTATTTTTAAAAAATAGTGATGCCTGTCCTTGTGGATATTGCTTGTAAATAAGGTTTTAGGGTTAATGAATTCAATATTGGGTTCAAACTTAATTTCAGATAGGATTGTCACACATCAGATTTGTGCGTAAGCTAGAAACATCAGGACAAATTACAGAAAACATTTTTACGATCAGTTTTATAAAACCCAGGAGAGAACCCCATCGGACCTCCAGTAGAGTGAGAACCCCTCGCGAGGCCAAGTTCAGGGACCTTTGATCCAGTGTTGTCTCTTGCTTGTGAAAAACTGAACTATTGTGGCACTCACAACAGCCTGTCGTGAAATGAATAACAGACAGAAATGAACCCGTGGTAATTATTGGCCTTGATGCTGCCAGGTACAGACCGGGTTCGAGGATATCTAAACCATGATGTACCCTGTAGTTCGGATAGGGTCTCTAAATCATGATGTACCCTGTAGTTCAGACTGAGTCTCTAAACCAGGATGTATACTGTAGTTCGAATAGAGTCCCTGTAAACAATCATGTACCCTGTAGTTCGGATAAAGTCTATAAACCATGATATACCCTGTAGTTCGATGCACCCCGTAGATCAGACAGAGTCTCTAAACCAAGATCTACATTACTCTATAGTCTATAAAACATGATGTACCTTGTAGTTCAGATAGAGTCTCTAAACCATATTTACACTGTAGTTGGGATAAGCCATAGTTTTGTAAATAGGAGGCCGATCGTCAAATGAATATGAATTTTACGATATTTCAATCCCACAATGACATGGTTGTTAACGCGCTCTAAATATCTAGATGCAATAGACTTGGTGTAGAAAATTCTAGGTACACACTCTTAACCAACCATAGATGTTTTAATGACAATAAATCATATAGTTTATTCAGCCCGACGTAAGACTTAAATTGGATATCTAAAGTTGGTTTAACTTGAATGTGTTGTATATGTAAATCCTTTCGGTTGAATCACATCATAAAAAACATCTTATTTCATATAGTCTTACGTATTTATCAACATCACGGTGAACTTGGTCTATTCTTCCATGTTTCCTTTGGAACAATAGAACAAGTTAAAGAGAAAATGCGTCCAATTTTGGAATTAATAACCTTATAGGTCAATTTCCTAACATAATGTATTTTAAAACTGTTCTGCCCTCCAAATCAAAATGTTTCTGATATGAAAATCTTAATCTGTTGTTTAAATATGACAAAACCAATAAGTCAGCGGCGATGCATCAAGTATTATATTATTTATCTAGTAAAATCATCTATTTAGTTTTCAGTTGTTTACTTTCTCTCTATAGATTCGATTTCAAGTTGCTTCGTTTCTCTCAAGAGACTTGATACACTATATATGCAAAATATTTGGTTTTAGGCGGCAACCCGACAGCAATGTATTGACAATATCCGTTGCATAAATATATATCAAGTACATATTATCACAAATCTAAATAGTATTTTAAATTCAGAATATTAAAAGGTTTCGGAGAAAAAGCACAGATATCTCCGTATTCGTGTTTAGCTTTTAATATGACATGTATTTGTGAATTGCCCTAGTAAAATCAGCAGTTATTTATCAACAGAAATCCTATCATGAATTTCAAATTCGCATGGGGCCAACTCACCAGGGGCCCAAAGTCATTCATGGCTCGATTCGCCCAGGGCCCAAAGTCGCCCGGGACCCAAATGCGATGGCCTAACACATTCACAGTGTCATGCTGCGTTAATTTGATACCACATATGTCGGCGTAGAGCGCGACGACGAAGCGTGATTCGCCCGGGGCCCACATTCGATGGCTAAAACATTCACGGGGTCATGTTAGTCAATTTGTTACGTGGGGATGGAGCGCGGCTAAGAAGCGTGATGTGTGAACGTACTTACATACATTCACACTTTGATTTTATCTATATAGATAACGGCACACCAGATCTCGATAATGAGATACGGCTAAGTTCTTTGTTTTAGAATGATATCAAATAAAAGCCTAGAAATACCTGAATCCCTCCATCACGTTCATAGAATATAATATATAGTTTAAGATTGCGGTTTAGTTTAGCTGTTAAATCTCGCTCTTTCAGTATTATGGTCATCGAGAGAAAATGAGGATCATTGGCCGGGAAGATGAATTGGAGACATTGAATCTTAAAGCGTTAAAAATAGCCCGAGAAGTGGCTGATTCCACCAATACTTTAATGGCTGGAAATTTATCAAACACAACATCTTTTGACCCAGATGACCCGAAGACTGCAGACTACTCTCGACACATATTCAAGGTAAATGTATTTCATACTCGCTATTAATTACTTTGAAAGGTGTCATTGCAGATGGCATAGCGATAACGGGTATAATTAAGCCCAAAATATCAACTGTACAAATGTAGTTAAACTTTGCGCGATTAATCTATTTTTATATGCGCCCACATTTTCATATTGACGTATATTGTCGTCGCCTCTGTCTGCCCACAATTTGTTCGTGAACAGTCTACAGGTCACAATTTTTATCTGATTTTGACATGTATCGGACCGTAACTTCATGGGTTATGACCCCTGGTTGTACGAAAAATAAGGTTTTTTAGCTCGTCGCAATTTTTATCCGATTTTGATAAAACTTGAAATGTATGTTTATATCCCAAAGATCTAGGTTCCTTTCGATATTCGCACATATCGGATCGTAACTTCCTGGATTGTGGACCCAGATTGTACGTAAAATCATCGCGTTTTTAGCTTGTGGTTCCTCTAGAGGCCACAATTCTTATCCCATTAAAGAAAACGTTCGAATATATCACCATTAAATCATAATGATGGTTGAGTTCGAATTTCTTAAAAATCGGACCGAAACTGTCAGACAAAATGGCTGCTACTTGTACGCAAAAAGTGTAAAAGTATGTAATACCAAAGTTGTGAACCCTCTAGAGGTCACAAATTTTATCCGATCTCGATGAACCTTAAAATACACGTTTATATCCACACGATCTCGGTTCTTGTTGATATTGATACATATCGGACGTAACGTCGTTGATTACGGCCTCTGATTGTACATAAAATCGCAATTTTGTTTTAGCTTGTTCTCTGTCCATGTCTTGCAAAATGTGGGCGTATCTTGCTCGGGAACCGCTGGTTAATATGTATAAATGGAATAGTTTGTTCACCATATTTTCAGTACCCCATAATTGCTACAGAATTCCCAAGTCTATCCGCCCTAAAAAAAAAAAGGCCGTTATAAAACAGCTATTGTTTTATATTAAACATTAAACGTAGACGAAGGGTACAGGTCATTAACATGGACACGAACGAATTTGCGAGAGCATCCATAACTTTTTGATTGTAACGTCGAATGTTTCGTAGTTTTATTAATTCATTAATTCATGTATTTATGTTTCTAAGACTATGTATGATGATAACCGTTCTTTGTACAGGAACAAGTAGAGTGGGCGGTTAAAGGAGGGGCTGATTATATCATTGGTGAAACATTTAGTGAAATCCAAGAAGCTCATTTAGCATTAGAGGCCATACAGAAATATGGCAATGGTATGACAATATCGGTTTAAATATTGTATTTGATTTTGGTATTAGTGTTTTGCATTACATGACGTTATCGGAAAGTTTCAGTTACTGACGTGATAATGTTATTCGAGGCGCAATTCGGTCCTTGTGAAATGATAATGTTGGTCTACGATCTCAACGATACATTTTTATATTTTTAACGGCTGAACTGTTTTCCCCATGGAAATATTAAGCAAGACACACTATTTACTTCCATATTCTTCTATAAAACATTAAAGGGGAATTAGGTAAGATTAGATAACGAGCTGACAGCTCTCGCTCTAATAGTTAAACAATAGATAATGAAAACAGACTATGCTGAAAATTTCAGTCAAATTGCTTCACTCTAAACCAAGATATTAGTGAATCAATTTTAGGCCAGCATCGATCATCATTACTAACGTTGGTATTATAATAAACAAAATCTCGACTATTCAATTTTACGTTAAATTATCCATCTGGAATTAGAAATCGAAATAAATGAACAACATATGAAAGAGATCTTTAATCTTGCACATAACACAAGTATAGACAGCAAACTTCAAAACTTCCAATACAAATATATTCATAAAATAATATATACAAACGCATTACTATGTAAATTAAAGTTAACCGAATCCACCCTCTGCACCTTCTGTCAATCCGATATTGAAACAGTAAACCACTTATTCATTTCCTGCAGATATGCCCAACAAATCTGGAGCGAAATGCTAGAAATTACCCTTAAAAGTAAAATTAATATAACATTAACAAATAAAAATTTCCATTTTGGGTATCCAGAACAAATTTCAGTAATTTATATGAATGTGACTTTACACACCAGTTGATATTCTTAACCAAATACTATATATTTAGATCTAAATTAGAAAACGTCAAGCCGTCACTATCTCCATATAATGCCTTATTAATGAGTAAAATCGCATTAGAATTGGAAGTATTTAAATCAAGTATATACACCCTAAATAAATGGAAATATGTAGAATGCAACACATTATTGTAGAACTAGACTGATCGCATACCCTTATCATTCAATTAGTATTATACTATATATGAATATAGAACCTTATAAAAATTAGATGTGCCGTGCATTTTAAATCTTAACTTGGAAGCTATTATTTCTTCTTCCTCTTTCGGTTTTCGTAGAAAGGATTATAGCAACCTGTACTTTTTTGTTTTGTTTTTGGATAGTTTTTCAGTAACCTCCTATGTATGTATACCTCCCCCATCCCAGGCAAGGGAGATAACATAACTAAACGGGGAGGAAAAGGTTGGAGATCAAATTTATAAAAGGATCATAATAAAGCAGTGACTTAAAAAGGTTTCAAAGGGTATCTCATATTTTTCTACATCTTAAGAAAATGATACAAGTATACTTAAAGAAAAACATGTCTATTGTAAAATGATTTATTTACTCTTTCAAATATAAACCGACATTATCGTATTGATGTAAATGTTTTGTATATAACATTAATACTTAATGCTACATCAATATAATCAGCTTATTTTTTGATTATACTGAAATTTGTATATGATGTTCCATTTTAAAAAAAATCCACTAAATATCGCAGGCTAACGATGGCATCGAGAGTTGATTATGGTCTGGATACGTTCATTGATGTCTAATTACGTCGTAATAATTTACATAACATTGCATGATTTAAGAAAGACCTACAATATGCAGATTTAGCTCTTGCATAATGTTTGTTTAAAGGTTTATATGAAGAATGTAAGAAATATATATATATATATTGGTTTTGGTTTTGTTTTTTTTTTTGTTTTTTTTTTTATTGTTTTGCACTTCTAACAAGCTTCTTTCTCTAAGATTAATGAACCAGTCTATAGGTAACTATAAACCACATCCTAATTATATCCCATCATCTATATCCAGGTCTACCAGCAGTAATAACATTAGTCCCATATAGTTCAAAAAGAACAGTTGACGGTGTTCCATTTCCACAAGCATTAAGACAGTTAGAAGAAGCTGGTGCGGCTGTTGTAGGTATCAACTGTGGACGAGGGCCAGCTACTATGATACCCATGTTAAAAGAAATAAGACAAGTTTGTAAGGTACATTTGAATTATTATTTTTATAATCGGGTACCCCCGGGTGCATCTCCATCACTAAAACTTGATTTATAGCCATCTAGAAACCAATTAGCTTTCTTCGTCAATGTACTGTGTGACGATAGATAGCTTCTATTTGTTGACTATTGTTGAAGACGTTACCGTCAAGAATCGGGCAGACGTAGAAAGCTGATGTAGCTGTCTTCTCTGGGTGTGCCTACACACCTTATCTACTCGAATTGTACATGTCTGTCTTTTAATTGTTCACTCATGTTACTAGGCTGTTAGCGGTTACTTACAATTCCTTTGGATTATTATCGAATATCATGCAGTGTGTGCCATTTACTTTCACATTTAATTTTTAAGAATTCAAAAGCATAAACTGAAACTGGGCAGTTCACATTATTAATAACTGGATTAGGGAGCACTATTATTTCAAGCTACGTCAGAAACTGTTATATGTTAACTACTCACATTGACCTGTCAATATATACATTAGCAGAATTAGATGAGTTCAATAATACATAACTGTGTTTACAGGGTCCAGTAGCAACACCACTTGTAGCACTTATTAGTTTATAGGCACATCATATTATTCTTGCAGGGTCCAATAGCGGCACTACCTGTACCCTTTAGAACAACTCCTAAAGAACAGACATTTCAAAGTCTTACAGATCCTGTAACTGGTAAGTAATGTCAGAATTTTAAAACCCTGTAATCGCATAATAAAACAAAATGTAGCACCCGGTTCGTGGTATAACGTCATGGTCGTAATTCCGATATGTACATTTGCATTAATTTGAGAACGCATTTTTTTTCTAGGTAAGTCAGCCTATCCATTAGATTTATCAGCAGTTCAATGTTCAAGGTCAGACGTCAGACAGTTTGCAGAAACAGCGAAGGAAATTGGAGTTCAGTATATTGGACTTTGTTGCGGAAGCTCTTCCTTCCTGTTGCGTGAAGTAGCGGAAGTATACGGAAGAACTCCGCCAGCGGCTAAGTATTCTCCAAATCTAGACGCAAGCTATGTGATAGGGAAAAATGTAAGCAAACATGCATATAAAGTAAAGCAGTATATGTTTGGCGAGGATGAATAGTACCAAACTTGAGAAATTGTTCATCTTAGGACAGTTAATATTTTGAAACATTTTATGGTATGCCAATTAAGTTCTTTAGTTCACATTGAACTCATAATCTGATATCTTTCTTAAATTATTGTACTTCCTCGCGGTATGCGGAGTTCTATAAGCTCATACTGAACTGATATTCTGATAGCTTCCACTCACTTTGCAGGTCAGCTTAATATTGCTTTATCTGTTTATGCCGAAACGTAGCACGTTAACCCAATTTCATTCATTTATTATTCTGTCAAATTTTCGTAATTGAAAGTATCTATGTTTACTAAGTTTTACTAACACGGAGAACTGCATTTCTTAAAATAATCGTTGTAAAATGCATGAGTATGACATTATTTAAGTATAATGAATTAACTTCTACCTCTTTTACTAACCTGCAGATGGTTCAACAATTAACGCGCAGACAACTTGTATGTAATTATTTATACGAATATTGATAAAATCCAATAGTTATAATCCATACAAAAGAATAAAATGTTTAGTAGATTCATCATAATGTATGTTTTGATCCGATATCAATATGCGTTTCGTTTGTTTTACAAACCCATATTCAGTGGGGTTGTTTTGATCTTTTCGTAGACTTTGCATTCAAAATGATTGTCACATAATTTATGTATGCTTGGACCACGGTGGCTCATTGAGTAAAACATTAACTCGCTAACCTGGAGGTCTCGTGTTGATCTCTGTGTTCATGGGCTTTCCGACGTGGTTCCCTTGTAAAGGAAGGGGGGACTGGCAAGTGACAACGCATAGTCATTCAGAAGGGAGGCAAAACGAGGTCCCGTGTACACAATGGCATTGGCAGTAGAATTCGATATAAGGGTAGGCTGTAATGCCGCTATTTCGGACAAAATGTCCCTCATAGCACTCTGTATGGCGTATGCCCGTCTTCATTATCCCCGTCAGTACACAACAGTAAGACGTTAAACCCCATTTTATTTCAGTTGATGTCTTCGCTATAATCCAAATCAGATATAGGTAATAGCAAGCTTATATTTTAATTTGCTGGAAGGCGAATACATATTGGGCACTTTTTGTCATTAATCAATACTGTCATCCTTCACAGTTCACCAATCCTAATTTAGTTGTTAATGTTTAAATTGGTCTACAAAAACAAGCAATCAGGGTTTTTTTTATACATTTGGCAGTATGGGAACGTTGAAATGGGCTACATTATCATTAGTATCATCAACAGATCTTCAAATATTAAAAACAGATCAGGTTTAGACAAACTGGTCTCGTTCTATTTCCTCTCATCACCATTTCTTTGGAAACGCATGAGCAGTTAAGCCGAAATCGCTTATAACTATCTTAAATTCATATCGTCATCATCCCCACCTAAACTACGTAGTCTAGCTCCAACGAATGGTGCATTTGTAACGAACGTGAAAAAATGTCATCGCAAAGCTATTGTGTGGCGTTCACTGGAAGAACTTGATCCGGAACTGTATTACTGGGAGAAAGGCACTAAATTGAAAACATTACAACCTGTCAACTAACTCCGGAGTCTGTCATGTGGTTCATCAGGTGTGGATGCAAGAGTGGCAGCTCAAATAGTACGTGTGCTTGTAGCTGCACTAGGGATGGCTTAGAATATAAAGTATTGTGGGCTTGTGCTGTCACAAGTTGCAGCCAAAAACAGGACTAAAGGAGTAAATTGGATATTACCTAGTTTTGTGGGGGTTATATTCCTGTTTTGTGGGTAGAATTTGGTTTTTTTTAATGTTCAACAAAGTGCTTTTGCCTCCATTTTCAGGACCGATACAGGGATGTATGTGGTGTTATCATGTCACTCCTACGCTCCTATGTCCAGAATATATAGTTTGTTCTATATAGTTTGGTTCTGTGAAATAATCGCCCACCCCCACCCACAAATGCTGCTAACGAATTAAAGAGCCATATTGTCTGGCATGTTTATAAGGGATTATTTGAAATGGCGGCCGTCTTAGACGCCAGTTGTCTAGCATGGAGGTCGGGTGTCAGATTTTCGGGCGTGGCTCCCCCTTGTCAGTAATGCAACAGCTGTCTAGTCGTTAGGATGGGACGAAAAACCGTGGCATGCACGTAAAAGATCCCTTGACAGTTGGAATTCGATATAAGAGTAGGCCGTAGTGCCGCTGTCCGGGCAAAATTTTTCCCTCATAGCACATTGTATGGCGTATGCCCGTCCCCATTAGCCCAGTTCAGAGCAGAATAGTAAGACGTTAAACCCAATTTCATTTCATTTCATTGAATTTCTAATAATGTTCAAGGTTCACCTGGCAGATTCTGAAAGAGGACACCCTAGGTTACTAAAATTCAATCATAAAAAAAAACTTTTGTATACGATTTCCAAGTTCAGCCATAGTTCTGCCGGACTCTATCAACGCTCACAAAACAGGCGGAATTAACATGCAGGCCTCAAGATTCTGACCGATTGCTTATCCTCTCGTTCACTAGAATTTTCTCCCATCAATGAACAAAAATGCGAGGAAATTGAGGCCAAGTCCCAAAAATTTAAAACTTAATAACATACATGTATTATACTTTGCTCTCAGAAATTTGTTCGCGCCAACGGCGCTCGATTTCGTTACAGCACCATTCTTTCTCCACTTCGCTGTGGTCTTATACTTTCTCATCACTATCATATTCACAGTTATAGTGAACCACCCAATTAGTAGTACCACTAGTGGGTGGAGCAATAGACTACACATTTTCTGTTGACTCTCACAAAACAGACGGAATTGACAGCGAAGTCAATGGGGAAATCATTGGTGATCCGTGGCTACCGAAATAGACTGGCATAACCAGACTCGAAAGACTGCAATTCAATTTGCACTCTTGGTGTATTTCGCCTAACATAAATGATTAGAAATTACAGTGTGTGTGGGTGTGTGTCTGTGTGTGTGCGTGTGCGCGTGTGGGGGGTTGGTGTGTGTGTGTGTGTGAAATATCAACAATATAGAATATAGTGGTCATATTTCAACAGCAAGTAAATATAGAGGAAGAGAAATGGGGTTTAACGTCCACTGGACACAAACTAGGTCACTTTGGGACTAACACATGGTTCAATTATATTTCATTAATTCGCTTGCGCGTAGGGGTCTTTAGCAGTTGGAGGAAACTGGAGGAACCGGAGAAGACCAGAAAACCACGAGGTTGGACAGGCGACCCTACTCCTTGTCGCGTACAACCGGGGAATCGAAACCACGCCAGTTGACTCAATGACAGATCTTATGATACAGCGCACACGTGCTAACCATTCGGCCATCCAACCCAGTAAGTAAATATAAGATGTTTGATGACGACAGTGCCGAACCATGACCCATTTTCCTCAATCGTCCCACCGCACCTCATCTCTGATGTTGATAATTTAGTGCAAAGAATTGTTTTATTCTCGAGTACAATATTTCAGACACTGTTTCGTATTCGACTTACTATGCATATCACTGTTAAAATACCTATTTTAGTACCCTCGGAAAGAATATTATCTTGCAAGGAAAGTATTGCATTCTGTGCTCGATTTTAAGTCTTCAGTCGAATCACCGGTCATCTGGACTTTTATGCGTGGTCCTCCCTTGTCAGTGGTGTAGGACGGGAGGCCTAGCAAGGGACAACGTATTGTCGTTCGGATGAGATAAAACAAAAACGAGGTCCCGTGTCCGGAATCGAAATGAAATGGGAGCTACGGTGAGTAGGATGTTGGCTAGCTAACTTCATCACAGTTCATCGGGATTTTCCATGCGTGGTTCCCCTTGTCAGTGATGTAGGACAGTAGGTCTGGCAAGGCATAACGAATCGTCGTTTGGATGTGATAAAGGAAAAACGAGGTCCCGTGTCCGGAATCGAAATGAAGTGGGACCTGTGGCCCAGTGAGTAGCTCGTTTGCTCGCTAAGAGAGCAAACGTCCTACTTACTGAACCACCGTAGCTTCCACTTTATTTCGATTCCGGAAACGGGACCTCGGTTTTTTTATCCTCTTGGAACAACTATACGCTTGTAACAGTTGTAAATATTGACTTTATTTACATAGGAAATAATATAAATTACTATAATGAAACAAACTCTTAGTGATACATAAGGTTCGTGATAATACAACTACGTAACGACCCTTCTGGGGAAAATATTAAAATTCCAAAATAGGGCGAATCAAGAATATAACTGGCGTAACCAAGAAACTGAAAGACCTAAAGCCAGCCGATTTGTTAAATATAAGTCCAGACTGTATCATATCTTAATTAAACGCACGGCTACCCATAGATATGAAGGGTCAATTCTTTGTATTTTTCCTTTGTCTTAACTGATACGATCTTATTATGACAAAATGTCTTAATTAAACATACCGCTACACGTAGAGATAAAGGGGTCAGTATCTTCTATAATCTTTAATCTAAACTGATACGATCTCATTATACAAAATGGCTCAATTAAACACACCGTTACAGGTAGAGAAACGGGTCAGTATCCTGTATAATCTATAGTCTTAACTGATGCGATTGTATTCTTAAGATTAGGCCTTTCTGATTGGGTCAAGATAAGATAATGCCAGTGTTTACATTGCCGCGTTTACTTTCGCTTGATTTTTCGAAGCAAAAGTCAATCGCATAGAGCTTTAGCCGGCAATTGTTGAAATAACAAAGCATAAAATAATTTTGACGTAATTAAAACACCCTTGACACAATATGATAACTGTCACTCAAGTGGAGAACGCTAGATTGGAGACGGTCCTGCACATATGACATCATAGTGGATTATGGGTTAGGTATAGGAATTTTGGGTTCAGGTTAATTCTCCACATAAGCACTGATGAAAATTTATTTGGTGATATTTCCTAGTTTTATAAATATACATACAATACATTAGATTTATATACAAAGTTGATTTCGCTGTTATTTTGGTGTTGGTGGCGGCGATGATCATGCTTTGTTGACGCTTATGGTATTATAATATTTTTGTTTCTGAAGAAAAAAGAATAAATTTGAGACTCTCCAGTGATAGTGACATTAGTGTGTTTCCTACTAAGGATTGGATTGTCTAAAAATGTGTTTGTACCACTATCCCCAGGTTAGGTCTAGGGATTCTTATATCTAGTTGATTTTATTTACTAAGGTTTAGGGCTAGGGTTTTGATATATTGTTTGCTTTGCGTTAGGGTTTGATATCTTTTTTGCTTTGGGTTAGGGCGAGGACTGGTCTTATTTAGTCTAATTTACTTTGCAGTAAGGTGTCATTCAGATTTTTATATTTAGAATATGCATTTATATGTTTCTGGGTGAAGATTTTCAGGTGATTTTCCTGGAGATTAGTATGATTTTTGATGCACGTGTTGTTGTTGCGCTAAATGCGACTACAAAGGGGCTATTGCGCTAGCCTTATAAATATTCCAACCTAGAGTTGGGGATAGGGGGCTGTTGTTTTCAATTCGTCAATTCTGAATTGTTCTCTTGTTAGCCTAAACGTTTTAATCACTTCTTTAG